TCGTCTAACGTCCTCAACTCGGAGAGGCCAGGTTTCACAAGCATAGAGCAAAACTGCTCTCACCGACGCGTTGTAGATCCGACCTTTTACAGCCAGACTAACATCACGAAGGCGCCAAAGGTGGCCCAGATTGGCATAAGCCGCTCTGGCTTTCACTATTCGTGCATTGATCTCATCACTCACACCCCCACCAGCACTTATGCAGCTACCCAGATACACGAACTTCTCGACTACGTCTATCTGCTCACCATCCAGGGTGAGTACAGGATTAGAATCCTGCCAGTCTTGTAGAAGTACTTTGCACTTCGAAGGTGCAAAGCACATACCATACCTACGGACACTGATTGCCAACTGATTAAGTGCGGATTGCATGCCTTGGGCATTATCGCACAGTAAGACAATATCGTCCGCATACTCAAGGTCGAGAAGTCTTTCTCCAGGCAACAGATCCACACCACCATTACTTACATTCATCAGAGCTGTTTCCAGAATGTCATCGATGGCAAAGTTGAAGAGGAATGGTGAGATTGGGCAACCCTGCCTAACCCCACTGCTCGAATGGAACAATGGAGAGAGGTGGTTGTATGCCCTCACTCTGCCTGAGGTGTTTTTATATAGGGCTTTTAGGATGTTAATAAACTTCTCAGGCACACCCTTCTTCAATAGACAATCCCAGAGAACAGTCCTGTCCAACGAATCGAAGGCAGCCCTGATGTCAAGAAACACTACGATTGTTGGCCTTTGATAAGTATGGCGGTGTTCTAACATTTGGCGGAGGGTGAAGATATGATCAATACATCCTCGACCAGAACGAAACCCAGCCTGCTCCTCGCGAGTCAATCTTTCTCGGGTTTTGAACAACCTACGAAGTATGACGGAAGCCAATAGCTTGGACGCAATCGGAAGTAGACTTATCCCCCGATAGTTGTTACAGGAACGACGTGAACCCTTTTTAAAGATAGGGACAACTATCGACTCATTCCATGACGTTGGTACACTCTCTAGTTCCCAAACCTTTGTAAACAACGTCGTCAATTCCTTAGTCAAAAAGTCACCACCATCTTTAAAAAGAGCCGGAGGTAAGTCATCTGGGCCAGGTGATTTGTAACGCTTCAAGAGTTGGAGTTCCTTGCGGACTTCCTCCTCGTTTGGTGGATCAGTCGTCACCGGCCATGGAGGGCAGGACAGTCTGACCGATGTTGCCGGAGCAGCAGGCCAGTTGAACTGCCCTTCGAAAAATTCTGCCCATCGTCCAAGACGTCGATGGATGTTAGTGATTGGCATCCCATCATCCTCGCAGATTGTTTCACTCACACCAGACTTCTTGCTGCCAGTGGCTCGGATGAGCTGGAAGAGCTTCCGGTAGTTACCAGATGCAGCTGCTGCTTCCAGCTCATTAGCACGCTTCGACCACCAGGCTTCTCGGTCCTTACGCAAGCTTTGCCCAATTTCCTTACGTAACATCCTTCGTTTATGGTCAAACTCACGGTCACCCGGAGTAGACCGACGGGCTTCAATGAGTTGTAAGGAACCAGAAGAAACCCAGTGCTTAAAAGCGGGACGTTTCGCAAACCCACAACTGACTGTTCCCGCCATTTTCATGGCGTCATGCAATTGCAACCAATGCTCATCTATACTTTTCGGTGGAGTGGTAGCTAGCCTAGAGGCTAGCTCGGTTCGATACTTACTTGCAACAGAAGTTGCAACCAGCTTGCTAACATCAATCCGTTGATGGCGGTCACTTCGTTGTCCACTGAAAAGTAAGGCAAGATTGGCGCAGACCAAGGCATGGTCAGAGTCCAGATAGGTACTCCAAAAGGAGCGGCAGTCTTGTACACAACCACGCCAGCGGTAGCTGATCGCGATGTGATCAATCTGAGTCCAGGCTTGAGATGCAGAGGGAGGACGCCAGGTGGCACATCGGCGATGACTGTGCCGAAAGTTAGTGCTAGCCAGAAACAGGTTGTGGTCTGTGCAAAGTTGCAGTAGACGGTCCCCGTTATCTGACCTGCGACCAACGAGTCCCCATCGGCCACCTAAACGACTCTCTTCTGTGCCTAGACGCCCGACCTGAGCATTCAAGTCTCCGGCTAGTACTACAATATCTGTCGAACGCACTTTCTGGAGAAGAACAGATAACTGGTGGTAAAACTCATCCTTGATTGCATCCGGGCTGCAATCTGTCGGGGCATAGGCGGAGATGACGAAAAGACATCGTTTCTCACGCCGATTTCTTCTCACTTTGATGGAACTTTCTAATCTAACAGCACATAACCGACTGTTAATGGGGATCCAATCGACTAGTGCTGCCTCAGCTCTAGCGCTTAGTGCGACACCAACGCCAGCAAGACCAGACGAAGATGCCACAGGGTCCCCGGATAAGCGCACGTAAAACAAGCTTTTCGAAGCGACAGATGGAGATCGAATTTGTAGTACTTCGCCAGAGTCTTGAATACGGGTCTCGGATAGACAACAAACATCAATATTAAGACTTTCCAAAGACATAGCCAGCCCTATCTGTTGTCCGACCTGCATAAATGTGCGAACGTTGAAGGCAGCCAGTTTGAATGGTGCACGTGGTTTCAGAAAAACTGCTTCAGTCCTCGTATTCGGTGGTAACATACAATTTTCAACCGGACAGTGACTCGAGAACGTTTAGATACAGTCGAATTTCCACCAAAGACGAGCCGCTGTATAAGTATAAAAGAGGGTGAATAATGTGAAAAAAAAAATAATAGTATTAATAATGACAATAATTGTAATGATAATAATTTGAATCAATTGATTGTTTTTCGAAGCGAGAAAAGTAATTTCCATAGACATAAAGAGTTCATCATTTGTGTGTGGGCTGTGATACTGCCCGGGTGCCCAAACCGAAGCAGGTGGTTATCTTAGGGGGCCACACCCCGAGCCTTTGACCTAAAGGTCTAACCCACAAGGCAGTGGAGCATCGTAAGGAGATGCAGTCCCATGGTAGCCGGTGACCAACGATTGGTTCATACGCCATTTGTTCCCGCAGGATACTGGAGCCCATGTGCACCATTGGTTTGTGATCCGGTTAAAGCGCCGGACATTCGCTTTTCGTCCTCATTTTCGTAAACAACACCCCCGCCACGAAAAGGCAATGAGTAGGACTTCCCTGGCAGAGGCTGTATACGCGCGGCCGTGTGAGAGTATTTCAAGAGGGAGAGCGGACTCTCCCCACTCTCGGCCGTACCAGGGCATTCGGGGGCTCGAAATCCGTAATTCAATCAAAAATGCAAAATTTTCCATCCCATGTTCACTTTATCAGTAAATTTCCGAGAATCTGTAAAATTTGTCACAATCTGTGCGCAAGACTAATTCACTACCATTGCATGTACTATGTATATCGAAAATTTCTTCTCTTTTGCCATTGTCTTGGAGATGCTTACACCAATGTTTATTATCGTAGTTTACTTGGGAGATTATAATAGCACTAAATGTCCAAGCACTCTAATAAATGAACCTACTCAAAAATGGCCTTTTTTAAGTCTTTACTTCCTTACAAGCATATGTGACAAATCGTTCATATTATACCCTATTGACTACAAACATTAATCTAATTATACTGTTTGCTACATTATTGTAAGAATGTATACAGAATAGCAGTTTAGTTTAGAAAATCTTCACTAAGAAACGATTGATAAAATAGATGTAAAAGGTAGTTTATTACTGTGACTTTTTCTCTTCTTACTCTTTGTTTTCATTTTCTTCAGTTTTGGGTGCTAACACGAACTTTGTGACTTGACTGAAGCCATCTAACATTACAATACGTACTTTCTTGACCTTCACAAAGATGGCATCAGGTAATAATGAACACGGAATTGTCGTAAAACACCAAGTTATATTTTATTAAATAAACTATTTAGTGTAACTTCCATAACAAAAGTACGGCATCTATCGTTCTGAAACGCAGTACACTGTATTTCTGCTACTTCTCTACACAGTTTTTCATACACTATTTATTAAGAATAACTCCACGGTTAAAATATTTATAGTTATTACGTCATGTATTCCGAAAATAATGTTGTACTTTAACATGATGTCACTTCTGACCAAAGATGTTTCTCATGATAACAAAGGAGGTCCAAGTGGAATTCCCATGTAAATATCAGCTGATAGTTTACTAAATAAACTAATTTTAAAAGATTACTGGAAAAAATAAACTAGAGATAACATTTACAAGTTCATTTTATAAATCAGAAAAAGCCATGCGAAATAAAAATCATCAAGGATGAATAGTTAACTAAAAAAAGTAACTGACGGTTAAACGCAATACCTAATCATTCTACATTTTAAAATTAACTTACTAAGCAACCTACATATCTTAAAGATATCCATATCCTATGAAGTTCGTTGTACGGTGGCAGCAGTACGATGAGAGTTCAAAATTAGTTGTGTTGTTACAAGCAATACTGGAAATCATAATAATCGAGGTAGAGAATGCATGTTGAGTCACGTAAATTAATAAAATTTCACCACTACTAAATAAATAGACATCACATTGTAATTCAGTTTGCAGTGGTTCGAATTATTCCATTGTTGATGTTCCTAACTGAAATTTTGGTCAGTATCAGTTAGTCTGTGCACATTCTATAACGAGTCAGAAATTGGACGAAATGCGCGTCTTACATTCAATTGCTAGTTATATTCCATCTCTTATAGAATGCATTACACTGATTACTGCTAAGTGATCAATCAGTAAAGAAAACAGGGGTTCTTATTAAATCAACCAATAAGATATCTTTCATAAAAGTACGATATTTTCAGGGGCTTGGAGTGGATAAATTTTACTTAGTAAGTGGAATTTCACTTTTGTGTATCCATAAAAAACAATTAATAATCACGATTTCCTCCCGCAACGATAACGTACCAATCACGTTCGAATACTTTCTCTCATTAATCTATTGTGGTAGTGAATGCTTTCACACGAATATAGGCTATTTGAACACAGTGACGAATTACAATTTTAGGAATTCAATAAGATAGGTTATTTATTAAATCAACGTATAAGGTTTACAAGAAAAAACAGTAGTTTATACCAACAAATTAAAATATTAAGAAAAATATGTGTAAAAATATATAGGAGGAAATTATTGAATTTGAAGTCATTGAGTGATGTGTATCAAAGAAATTGTGACAGTATCAGATTGAATTCTTAGAGTTTGTTTTCTATCTCCATATTTACAATTCGCCTGCTATAACTAAATTTACATATCTTGCGGCTAATGATGGGTCCCATTCAACACTCTACAATGTATGGAACAATAAGAAAATTACCAGAACACCAAAACAATTTCATTAAATTGCAACATAAAAAGTGCTATATCACTGTTTAAACTTAATAAACGAATGGTAACTTGTTTATTTTTACATAGAAGTCTTAAGTCCCATGCTTGGAGCCTGGACGATAGCCTCAAGCTGAAGACTTTTGAGATGTTGGAGAAGATTTGTAGCTCAGGCGGATGATTTTGATGGAGTTTTGTTCTCTGAGCTGGAAATTCTCTAAAATCGGTTGTAGGTTCTCACAATCTCTGTTTTCCATTGAGTTTTAGTTTTATCATCGTCTTTAACTCTTTATTTCTCAATCTCATTTGTTTCTTTAAAACTGTATTTCTTGTGCTGAGATTTTTATTGCATTTTGTGTTATTTCCCTTCCTATTCTATTCATCTTGTTAACCTCTGGTCATCTTGCCGTGGCAACGTGTACTGATACAAATCCATCCTCAGTTGTGTATTAACTATAACTGGCTTACTTATTCTGATGTGAGACTAGTCAGAGTACGCCATGCAATTATTTTTTCCATTATGGTTTCAGATTAATTGAAATGTACATAAAGTTTTATATTTTTGTGAATGATCAGTTTTTACGATCAAAGTTCAAATAATCACTTTTTATAATCTCTCAACTTGGTGATATAAAGTAATTGGAGGCAGCAATCGGTACTTTTTAAATGTTCTTTTACTATCATTCAATTCATTCATCATCATATCATTCTACTTGGTGATACCAATTCATTAATTTGTTGCTATTTTTCCTTATATTTAGTCTGTAGCATCTTTCTAACCAGTAACATATTTACTATCAGAATTCCATGAATCGAAGTAGTATATTGTCATAAATATTGCCGTCACATTATTCTAATACTGCAAACACCTATCACCAAAATCTTTCAAATAAATATTTTAGAAAACCAAACAATCTGATTAGATATCTTCTTTAAAACGTCTAACTATTGGCCTATTGGTGAAGAAGAACTGAAGTTATAACAATAGCTTGATAATACAATCACAGTTAAATAAGCGAATCAACTGTATGAATGTAAAACGATCGATGAAATAAATATACAAACCTTAGAGAATAGCTGATCAGCTAATAGTTCATTTTTTTGTACACCTTTACCACTTTTTAAGCATAATGCATAAAGAAAACATGCCATTGACATAGCTCGATATTGAAATGTTTGTATACATTCTGATGTTGTCACAAAATTGTCACAAGTTACCATTCTGTACAAAGACATATTTACAAAATAATCAAATATTAAGTTTGTAAAGATAATGTATGTTTATGAATTACTTGGAATTGGTAAAATATTCAAATGAGTTAAAAGATAATTTTCGTGTATTTCCATCGTAGCAATTCTTATGATATTAATGTTACTCAAATAATTTTTTTCATTTCGTGGTAAACAACAGTGAATAAAGGCATTTGTGTTAGGTAAATAATTGTTCTTGCGTTTTGACGAAACTCTTGTGAAACAACAACGTGAAATTATATTCGGGTAAATAACAAATGAGTCGGATTATTGGATCACAAATAACATTCAGTTCTCGAATACGAAGTCATCCTTCAGTGTGTTTATTTGTCTACTAATATAACCTATTTTACTTAAAATAGTTTTCATATTATAATCAAGTATGGTATTTGTTGATGATAATCGATTCAAAAGCAATAAATTCTATATTTGATAGTCGTTATATTTCTCTCTTACAGTTATAACTCAGCTATTCCTATTGCTTAGTATTCTTGGACACCAAATCACTCGACAAGTCCCCAAATCAGAACACGGTTGAACAGGAAAGAGATTATCTTCCAAATAACACGGTTAGATGGAAGTAAGAAGCAAGTAAGTAGTGCAATAGGGAAAACGCTAGTGTATTCATAGATTTTCACATAAGATTTCTAGTGTTCACTAAGTATTGACTGACGCTGATTGGATAAGAATTAGCCAATCAGCGTGCAGCAAAGCAATCGTGCATTGAGCATGCTTTAATCCAGTTCATGTCCCGCTAACAATAGTAATAGTAAGAAATTATCCAGAACTTTTCTCCGTCATCAACGAAAATTATTTTTCTGCTAAATATTAGAATGCTTTTCATCAAGATTTCATAATGATCATATAAACACAACCAGAAATTACTTAATTGTATTTCTAGTTTGATTGTGTTGATTCTAAGTAGTCTTCACTCATGAAAATCTTCACATTAAAACTAGAAACGTGAGATAGTCTTACACGCGATACCGATGTTCAGCCTGCAGATAAGTATAGCGAATTCGAGTTAGAACTTATTACTTTTGTATCATATCAGTTTTTATAATAAACTGAGTCGTAATTCATATTATGTCATCAATCGATTGAGATAGTGAATTTCAACTAATCCAATTCAGAAGACTTGATGGATATGTGTTATATTTTAACAAGTGCTTTAGATATTTACTGCTAGATGTGCAGATGATGCATTTAATGAATATGTGTTCTATGGTATAGTATAGTATATTAAATTGGTTTCCCACACTTGAATTCTCGTTCATTACGATTACAGTTCCATCGAATAGTTTCAGTTAATTTAAACAACAAACGAGTACAAGGAAGAAAATCCTTTGTAAATATGTCGTTATAGCCGAATATATGCGTTTACTAAGGAAGAGAATGCTGAAATGGAATACAATACTCTGAATTAATAAAATAAGCAATCAATGTACTGAAACACCATTCGTTAGTGAAAGTCCGATGATAAAAGTATTAATATGTTCCATTGTTGTTAAAAACGAAAGTTATCAATTGTATTGATATTTAGAATATAGATTGGTTTAGATAAAAGTAGGAAGTATCAGTCGAAAACGAAATATTCATCTGTTGTTTTGTTTCTTTGTTAGCTTCATGTTAGTCTCGTCTCCGATAGACAAAGAATATCCGTCTATATGTAATTAAGTAAGACTAGTATCATTACAGACTTCTTATTACCAAATCAGAACACTCGGTTAGTTACAGACTCATAACACAAACCTATCCAAACAAAATACACAATTAAATTAAAGATTGTTCTTTTAGGTTAGATGATACGGGTAATATATTTTGACAATTAAAATTATATATATTACCTGCTAGCCAAGTAACATACATTCGTAAACATTTTCCGTCGATAGTAAAAGTAAATCAAATTTGCTTTAGCATATAAACTGCCTCTGGCTGAAGCTTCAGATAAACAGAATAAAGCATTATCACAATTTTCTTTCACACCTATTCCATATAAATACATTACACCTAATACGGCTAAATAACAAAGGTAAATAAAAAAATAAGAGCAGGATAATACATAGTAGATGCTACCTTTAATTTTGTTGTGACAAAGTAAAAAAAGAAATGAAAATACTTCAAACAAATTATTTAATAAACTTACTCGTATTTGAAACTTAAAATTGGGCGGAACATGTGAGGATGTATATACTACATTTCATCATTGAACAAAGTAGTAATCTTGACCTTAAAAAGAGGTTGTGAAATCCAATGTACACAACTCCATGAATACTTTAAGCATTTTTGAGCTGTTTGTCTACTCAGTCGCAATCATAAGCAAGCACGGTATAATGATTTTCCAACCAACTAACGTGGATTTACGTATGAAAGTAGCATGTTTAGGAAACCATTTTTCAGGAACGATGAGAAGTCTTATGCAGATATGCAAATATTTGAATGACTCAAAGTTCTAGATTAAGTTTGACTAATAATTTCAGAGCAAGACTAATGGTTCGTACCGATTTTGTGGAGAATTCTGTCAGTTCATTAAAACGTTAAAACAATTAGCTCATACGTATGCATCATAGAGAAAGATTCTGAATACTTTTGTTATTTACATAAATTGAACATTGACAAACCATTGTTCAACGTTCTACTCATTGGGATACCAGAAATATATTTATTATTAACTTTCAACCCAATGCTCAACTTATATAAAATTATCAATTTCAACCTTGGCATCAATACCCATAGAGTAATGATCCGTTCAGTTTCTAGAGTGGTGCTAAGAACAGTAGGTTTGCAACACTACATACAAAGAGGAACCAAAGAGGGCTCGTACCAACTGAATCGAACTTCCGTCGGTATTATATGCGATTTACAGTCAGCATTAGAGTGATTATACACGTCACCATGTTTAGATGGAGTATATTTCTATATCAATTATTCAGAAAAAAACTTGTTTTACCTGCAATCAGTTTATTAATCAGTTAAAAATCTAAGACGTACGTTATCAACACAGTGTATGGATCATTTTCTATTCATAAGCTAACATATCACTTTACAGGTAGTCGAACTTCAATCAAAGAGACTAAATGACAAAAAGCTTTCTGCAAGACTTGAATTTCTAGATTCAATCAACCATGAGATTGACAATATACAATGCTGATATCTTTAAATAAGATGAGCTATTCTGCTGAGTCCGAGGTTTTAGTTTTCCAGTTGATTCCAACTTGCGATATAAGAAAGTTTGTCTAAAGACTTCCGTATCGTGTGTGAGGCAGTTACCCAACGAAGACAGTAGAAAATGGTCGCGCAAAATCGTAGAACAGTTGGAGTTAGATACTAACATTTTTGGATGTCGGCTCAGAGGTCTATAGGTTAAGCGTTCGTGCGTGAGACCGAAGGTCCTGAGTTCCGCGTGCGGGTTGTGAATACTAACTGCTGCGGAGTTACATACTACGACGGAACGGCCATTCAGTGGTTGCAAGTTTTCAATGGTGGTCTAGCATTGATCGATTCATGATCTCAATTAAAACTTTGGAAGTAATTTAATACCAGTAAAATATTTTCATGAAATTTATTGAAAGTTGTTCCTTTACAAGTATTTCAATAAAGTTTCTTTGGCAAACTACCACCGCCCTTTTCATATAATCGCAATGAATATTTCATGTTTTCAGTGTACTCTAATTTCTAATTAAAATTATTTAAAATCAAGCTATGGATTAGTACTTTATTTCCTATACTATATATGTTAAGGTATACGATCCAACAAATAAACGTGCTAATTGATATATTTTTGTTTGAAAAGATATCCGGTAAGCGTAAGTAATAATCCTATTAGATAAATGAATATACAATGGAATAAAACTATATTATTATTATTATTATTATTATTATTATTATTATTATTATTATTACTGTTAATGGCTTTATTCAATATTATATTTCGGTACACTATAGAATTCTTAGCATAAGGTATTTCAACAAGTTTCTTTTACGAAAAACAAAAAAAGACTGAAAGGAATATGAAAAACTGTACAACTTTCCAAATTAGAGACATGTTAAGAATGCAGGTTATTGACTAGGTTAACTCTAACAACCTATTCGTCACGGACTATATTTGCTAGGTAAGGTATTATAGAACTTTTATACTTTTGCTTGCGTGCATGGATTTTAATGTAATTACGTCTCGTTCTGCCAGAAGATATACAAGGAGAAAGATATGAGTGAAGGAGATGGTTAGTATCTGATAAAATAACACCTTCCAGGAGTTTGCATGATTTTAAATGTCTATCCACAGCCATATTAATTATGACCTCGAAAGATTCACCACACACCTTGCTAACTGCCTTCAGCACTCTCCGCGATACAGCAAAGCCTTTTCTCAAAAACCCGGGAAAGAATAATGGAGAACAGTAAATAATAGTAGGTAATATGCAAGAATTGACAAATTGTAATAGTAAATGACGAGTAATTCCAAGAGCATGCAGTCTCTTTTTGTAGTAAGTCAAACGGAAAACTTTCTTTGATAACAATAAAACGTGAGAAGACCAAGAGAGATCAAAGGAAAAGGTGACATCAAGATAATTGACCTTCGACATTGTGTTTACCAAAGAGTCTCCGATGGTACAAGCATTATGGGGTCTCAAAATGGTGTTTAGATTCCGTTCATGCCTCATACTAAAGTTAACAGCTTGACATTTAGACGGATTAAGTATGAGACCATTACCAACAGACCAACAATCAATACGAGACAAAAACTCATTCATTTCCATGGGATGTAAAGAGGAAGAGATAGGCATACATACAGTAAGATCATCCGCATATTTCACAGAAGTGTTTTCTGTGGAAGATGGCAGATCATGCAGAAAAAAAGAGAATCGAAGGGTGAAAGAACAGCTCCTTGTGGTACACCTTCATGAGACAGTAGAGACTCTGAACACTTTCCTCCAAAAGCCTCTTCAGTCATATTAAGTCAAAGAGGAAAGTCTTGTAAGGACTGATAAAGTTAGATGTAAAACCTGTGGTAATGGAAAGATTGAACTATCGCAGTACACCAGAACATATCTAGATATCCAAACAAATATTCACTCATGGGAGTTATAGTGAACGATCCTTTGTGATTAACATATGATGCGGTCAATCAACCATGGTTTTAACCATCAAAAATTGAAGACATTCAAAGATAACGTAATTTACGTGATCTACGATATTCCAGTTATTTTCTTGGTAAAGTGGCAATACATGAACAAATTACTAACCAGAACTTCAGTCACACCTCCATATATTATAAGAAACTCTCAATTTAAATATGCATTAAACTATGGCTTTTTCACAAATGTCATTCAATGAACGGATTCTAAAACTAAAGAGTATAGGTAAATTTATTATATAGCAGGTAATCTAGTTCTAAGCCAATAAAGAAAGTTGTCATACGTTTGCCATTCTAAAGGATAGATGGTAAGGAAATTATACCTATCGAGTAGTTGTAGAATGTTCTACTGAAATAATCGTTTACAGCTGTTGGATATGGATCAATTTTACTACCTAACACCTGAGCATGGAATTTAGTCTAATCCTACTTAATAGTAGCACTCGATAATCCTGTTTTAACTCACGAAGTTGGTATTTTAGGTTTTAACTTTAAACAACTTGTCAAGAAGAACACAGATGTATAATTCAATAATTAAGTCAGACGTCCCAGCTAAATCAATTAATTGATTGATACTGTAAATTACATATATACTTTAGAGTATTAATCAATTGATATCAACTACTGTAGTGGTGAATGCTACTGATGTCAACAGATATAAGTACTATGTAATATCAATCGGAAGTGGAATACCTGGCAACAGAAGACTGAATTGAAGAGAACAGAAACGCAAACAGAGATTAATTGTAATAACAGAATTGTAGGAATCATGAAGCATCTAAAGGACAACTTATGGAAGATGTGCAAATAATGTATTTGGCGAGACCATAATTTATGGATTTTGGCACGAAGTTCATCCATACATTTGGCATTATATATGATGTTAGTATGTGATGAAAACCTTAAGTCTGATTCCTCACCCTAATCATCAACTGTAAATCGTAATTCTAATACCATACACTGGTTTATAACCCTCATTTAGTTGTAGTTAGTAGGTGAACATTCTTAAGGTCACTTTAGCATAGCTCAAAAGTCGTCTATAAATTATGGTCTCGCCATGTATTTAATGTATGCTTTTCGAATTTACAAAGCACTGTGTAATTTTACATTCAATAATAAATTGATTTGCCTCTCTAAGTCATTTACTTTACTGTCAGTTAGATGTGCTTGAATTTGATTTATTGACTAAATAACCAAAAGACTTTTACGATGTAGTATTGGTCACTTCGAGATTTGTTGTTAGTAAATGAAAAATCCTTCATCTTCAATTTTCTGTTCCTTGGGTCGAGTAAATCAGTCTTTATTTCGTTATACAGTAAGTATTAAGTAACAGTTATATCCCGGTCACAACAAGCAGCAGTATGGGTAATTTTTTAGGTCGTTGCTCAACTACTTTAAGACAATTTACTGATAATTACTAAAAGCTAACTGATCTTACCTTCTGAATGTTATTTTTTGTACACCTAGTACTATAATAATTTTAACATTTATTTTACGCGACTTATGTCATATGAAAAGTATGACAGTTATGAAGTTCATAACATTATCATTTAGTTCAACTCAATACAAAACTATATAACAATTTTAGTTAGGTGTTAATGTTGTATTCGAAGATTAGATTATGGGTAGCTTCCAGGAACTATTTACTTCAACGTGTCAGGAGGTGTTGATCAGCAAGAAGCACCATCATGAGGAATGTATCTCTATCGAAACCGTGGACAAGATTCAAGAAAAGAAGAACAGAAATTAACAACAGCCGAACAAGAACAGAGGAAGTCAATTCATAAGCTAAATACACAGAATCAAACAAGTAAGTGAAGAAGGGCATTAGAGCCAACAAACAGAAATACGTGGAAGACTTAGTAGAGACACTGGAAAATGCTG